GTTGGRCATAAATATGCTGAATGTCGGGCACGTTTGCAGAAGGGCCAGAGTAACGGCAAAACCTACAACAGCACAAATACGACGGGTGTGAAGGATCGATCTGGTGTCAAATGCTTCAAATGTGACGAAATTGGGCACTTTGCAACTGCATGTCCTAAAGGCCGATCAGGTGGAAATGACAGAATTTCTGAGAAGCGTGTGGATATCTGCGCAGTAGCTCCACCCTCTGGAACAATAAAGGCATTCGGTGAGTCTATTCCATTTTGTTTTGATTCTGGTGCAGAATGCTCGCTAGTTAAGGAAAGTGTAGTCCATAAGTTTAAAGGTAAAAGAGTTAATAATGTTGTAAAACTCAATGGCATAAGTAACGATGCAATTTATAGCACTCAACAAGTTTTATGTAATTTAAATATTGATCAATACTGCTTTGAGATTTTGTTACACGTAATTTTAGACAAGTATTTGAAATACGATGTGCTAGTTGGTCGAGAGATTCTTAGCCAAGGCGTTGGCGTAATGATAGACGCTRATAAATTTCAAATTTATGAAACGAAATAGATAGATATGGTGACTTTAATTGATTATGAGGATATTATAAGTTCTGATACAGATTTAGTTGATTCGAATCTCGACAGGGCTGTTGGAAATTAAGTTAATAGATCCACAAAAGACAGTGCAACGACGTCCCTATAGGCTAGGAAGACAAAAACCTGGTGCGTTGTAAAATCGATGAGTKGTTAAAAGCAAATGTTATCCGTCCAAGTTGCTCASCTTTTGCCAGTCCATTGATGTTAGTAAAAAAGAAAAATGGCACTAATMGTCTTTGTGTGGACTATAKGATGTTAAATGATAAWACCATTGCTGATAGGTATCCTTTGCCTCTTATCGCAGACCAAATTGCCCGACTTCGCGGGGCAAAATATTTCTCGTGCTTAGATATGGCTAGTGGTTTCTACCAAATTCCAGTTTTTGACCATGCCTTTTGGCTTGAAAAATGCATCTTCTGTTTTCCAGAGGGCCATAATAAGAGCATTGGAATCWCTGGCACACACATGCGCTGTCGTTTATATTGATGACGTGTTGGTTATAGCCGAAACTAAACTAAAGAAGAAGCCTTAGAACGGTTGCGTATCGTAGAAACATTGAGTAAGGCGGAATTTTCATTTAATATAACAAAGTGCTCATTTCTTAAAACTCCATAGAGTACCTATTTTTTGAGATAAGTAACGGAGAAAATAGGCCAAATGCACGTAAAGTGAAAGCATCTCTTAGATTTACCACCTCCACAATCTGTGTCGCAATTACGACAATTCATAGTATTGACTTTGTATTTTAGACAGTTCGTTCCAAAATTCTCGGAAACGCTTAAGCCTTTGTATCAACTCACGTCAAAGAAAAATGTTGATTTCTCTTGGCAACAGCAACATGAGCAAATAAGGACTAAAATTATAACAATATTGAYGCAGGCACCTGTGTTGACTATATTCGGCCCGAAACATGCTATCGAATTGCACACCGATTGGCTATGGTTGTTGCATAAAATTAATGGCAAACTCCATGTGGTAGAATATTATAGTAAATGCACATCCCCTGCTGAGTCAAAATATCATTCGTACGAATTAGAAAGGCTAGCAGTAGTCAATGGTATCAAACACTTTCAATTTGTCGTATATACGGATTGTAATTCGTTAAAGGCTCGTTGCACAAAGCTAGACTTAACGCCGAGGGTACATAGGTGGTGGGCATTTTTACAATCGTTTGACTTTGACATAGAATATAGGAAGGGTGATCGTATGGCGCATGTAGATTGTTTATCTCGGAATCCAGTGTCCGATAAAAATAGTGATCAGAATAAAATTCTGGAAAAACGCATTAATTTGACCGAGGTAACTGACTGATATATTAGCTAAGTTCAAAAATAACGAATTGCCAGAACATTTATTAAAAACCTATGAATTAAGGAAAGGAGTTTTATATAGGAAGATACAACGAAATGGTAAGACTAAATGTTTGCCTGTAATCCCTAGGACATTTAGATGGGTTATTAGTTATTAATCACGTTCATGACTCTATTATGTATCTAGGTTGGGAGAAAACATTGGATAAAGTCTATGGATTTTATTGGTTTGAAAAGATGGCAAAGTACGTCCGTAGATYTGTTGAAAATTGCATTACTTGCAAATTAGCTAAGCCTCCAGTTGGAAAAAYTCAATCTGAATTACATTCGATTCCTAAGGTAGACATCCCGTGGCACACAGTGCATATAGACATAACAGGAAAGAWGAGTGGAAAGAATGACCTAAAGGAATACTTAATTSTCTTGGTAGATGCGTTCACGAAATTTGTTTACTTACATCACACCTTAGATATTGATACTGAATGTTCAATCAAAGCTGTTAAAGCCGTTGTGTGCTTGTTTGGTGTGCCTACACGCATTATAGCGGATCAGCGACGTAATTTTGCAAGCTCAGGATTCCGTACATTTTGTTCCTCCCAAAATATTGAGCTACACTTAATTGCTACAGGCGCGAGTAGGGCAAATGGCCAGGTAGAGCGTATAATGAGCACACTTAAGAGTATGTTGACAGCAGTCGAAACCAGAAGTGCAATTGGCAATGAATTGCACCGCCAATCGAGTCATAAAATTCAGTCCACTAGAATTACTATTTGGTAGAGAATCTAGACCTCTCTGTTTGTAACCAATAGGTGAAGAAGAGGATAAAGTAATTGATAGAGAGTCTATAAGAAAACAAGCCAAGGAAAATATGGAGGCTAATGCTCATTATGACAAACTTAGATATAATAAGAATAAAGCAAAGATAATAAAATATTATGCGGGAGACCATGTGTTACTAAAAAACGAAGAGCGTCACCAAACTAAGCTTGATCCGAAATTTAAAGGTCCGTTCGAAATAATCGAACAACTAGATGGCTATAGGTATGTCTTAAAGTCTTTAATAAACAAAAGAACTTATAAGTATGCACATGAGTTTTTGAGGGCATTAGAGAATTAAGTAAAGAAATTGATGAAGGATTAGATGACTCCAGAGGAGATGCATCTGACTGTCAAATGAGAAATAGAAATAAAGAAGGCACAGCAGAATCCCAAGAGGGGATATAAAGACCGCAGCATAACAGAAGGATTTGTTGTGGCGGGGTTCGGTAAGAATAACTACACATCAAAGTTGGAATTATAGAAAAGAAGAATTGTTAAGTTCGATCTGAAAGAAAATTTTATGAAAAAGTTTATGTGATGGTATTGTGAAACCAATTTTATTGTTTTGTATAAAAATGTAAACTTTATATAAATAAAAGTTAATGAAGTAAATGGTAAAATCTTGTCCTAGATTTAACACACGAGGACGTGTGATTTGTCAGGAAGGCCGTGTCGTAGAATGGTAAATTAGCCCACTGTATATGTGTGGCATAGAATGATTAGTTAGACCGTTGTGCAAGCATGTAMAGTTTTGAATGGCGACACGATRTCGCTAACGGTTCTCAGAACGCACAGCGGCTCAGGGAAAGAAACATAGGGGATGTTCGAGTCTCAATCACTGCGGCAATATTGCAAAGCATCATATTCGATGCAAAAATGTGGCAACTTTTGCAAATGTCAAGCGTTCGAACAACTCAAATAYTGACATTTCGTGCGCGCAAAAGTGACAAAATCRGCATCAACAAAATTCGTGATGGAGGAAATGAGGTAA